TGGCTTGGCCTAAAGAACTAGCAGTTTCAGCTGTCCTTTGCAGCGGGTTTACAAGCACATACTGGAACTTTCAAACAAACTCGTCCACACGAAATCGGTGAGTGCGACTCCATTTTTCTATATGGAGGGTGGAATGAAGAAGCAGCAGGCCAAAGACCAGCTTCAACATCTTCATGATCTCATCCAAGGCTTTAGACAGCAGAGTAAATGTTGTACTATTACAAGTGAAGCCACGTATTCAGACACTAAATTAGGCTTATATAGCAAAGCATTTGCCTTATCTTGGAAATCCGGCTTTTTAATAGTTACGTAATTGATTTTCTAAGAAAACTCCCAAAAAGAAAACACAACACTGATACCATTCTCGTATTTTCTGGTCTACTTGTTCTTTAAGAATCAGAATAGACTTAAATAATATTCTTTCTTGAAATTGAAATCAATCTACTAAAAAACTTCTACATTATTATCTTTTTCTTTTCCAAAATAGACAGGTAAATGCACAAATAGCATTTACACTTTCCATAAAAAGCAATATCAAGAAACTAGAACTAAACATGACCATTACAATAATACTTACTATCCTAGTTCAAATGCCTACTGAACGCAAATAAATCAACTTGTCTGCGCCCAATTCAGCTCATTCACAATTCATAAAACTTCCATTAAGCTTAAGCTTCAGTCAACTCACTTGCAGAGCCAAATGGCTAAACAGCCCTGAAAATTGAAACACACAAACAGATATTGAGAAGACAGCAATACCCGGAGAGAAGAATAGGAATGGTAAGACTGACAACCTTCATCATCAGAAGTTATTATGCTTCTACAAAGTATAATCCAGTAAACCCTGAAAGTCAATATTCAATCTGTGTTGATGCAACTAGAAGAAACCTAGAGATCACCTTCAGAATTTTTTTCATGAAGTCACGAGCAATTGAATATACAGCATAATAAATCATACCTGACTACTGAGTTAAAGAGAATAATGAACTACAATTCTTCATGCACAAATCACAATGCAACACATAAAAAAAAGATTTGTGGAACAACTATATCACAACCAGAAAACAGGCCCGTCATGGAGCACACCTAATTCCAATAGAGGAAGAAAATCAAAAATTAGGAAGCTGGGATTTTTTTTGTTAATTATGTCCTTTGCAATTTTATTTTTCCTTTTTTTTTTTTAATTTTCATTTCTTAGGAAATTTGAGTTATAACAGGATTTGTATTAGGTAATTATCACTATGAGAAGTAGATTTACCTAGAAATTATTTCTTAAATGTAGCATTTATCTTTAGGATTTGAGATCTTTAAAACTTCTACTAGGTTTGGATCACACTTCTTTTTTTCTTTCTTCAACAGAAAAGAAATATTATGAATTTACGAGGATTGTGTATCTCCGTGGAGATGGTTGATCCCTTGCAAACATGGTCATCCCCCTCCCAAGTTCTTCTTCGTCCCTGCATTCTACATCACAACACAAGTCCACAAGCAAATAAAAGAATCTAACAAAAATTTTCTTGTACAGTGAAATTTATCAAGGGACATGCCATATTGCTTGGAACAAGCAAGGGTATTGTAATTTCCTGTGATTATCTCATACAGGACATGCTTTTGAGCGTCTTTTACACTTCCTCAAATCATGAATTTGCAAGTTGCTTTATTGGGTTTACATCCAGGGAGGCATTTTACATAAGGAGAAAAGCTGGGATCATAAAAGGAGAAGACAAACATGTCAAATCAAATACCTTGCAACGTCTCTCATTTCCAGCAGCAAAGCTCAATCTCAACCAGTACACCACTTTTGAGAACAGACCTCCATCAGACACGATCTTGCAGGTAGGCCGAGACAAACACAGCCAGTGCACAAATGGAAAGCCCTAACAAAAGGCCTGATGGAGTTATTTTCCGGGTAGCTGCTAACCGTATACCTGCGATGGCAAAATTTAAAAGAAAAACCAAAAAGAAAGGAACCAACTTAGAACCATATGGACATAACAGCTGAAAAAATTGTGCAGCAGTGGCAACAAGCTTGCGAGAGAGATAAAAAGGATGCAAGAAAACATACCAAATACACAAGCAAAGAGGAGGGTTGATCCAAATGCAAGGGCATCTCCTATTTCTTTTGTCTCAGATGCTTGCATAAAATAATAAGCCTATACAAGAAATTCCACATATGATATCTAATTACATAGTACTAAAGCATCCTTTATTTCACCTACAGCAATGCTGGAAGTCTTAAATGAGTTTTGTGTGTGTGTGTGAATATATTTATATATTTAATTCACAAATTCACATTTCCATATTTTTTGCTTTCAGCATCTGGACACCTAAATATTTAAATACTAGAAGTGCCGAAAATTTAATATATCTATGAGCCCTATTTATATTAATTGGATTTCACACAAGTAGCCATTCTGAAGCTGAATCAGTTTACAAAGCAAATACACTTAAGCTACAAATGGTCAATCCATCTTTTCAGTTTTTTTTCAGTAACATAGCTACGTAAACCTTTCAATATAGAAGTACTACAAATGGTTAAACTAACACTCATATCCATTGGTGGTTCATACGAGTATACATTTAAAGATAAAATATGTCCAACAACGATTACTTTAGCAAGCGTGAGTTAAAACTAACATATCACCCGTGCCTTCCCAATCAAAAGTATATACGAAAATAGACTAACAGATCCTTTAGGCTGCATTCTCTAACATCCTCCAATACCATAGGACATTATTACTGTTAGAGGTTCTAGAGTTCATTGGGAGTGGGAAAAGGCAAAGTTGTTATATCACTTACTGCAGCCATTAGAGATCCACCAGTCAGTCCTCCAAAAAGCGAGCCTTTGCTTCCTGATCTTGTGTCTGTTTGCAGAACGGAAACTTGTAAAACTAATGAAAGCCAAACACACACACACAAAAAAAAAAAAAAAAAAAGAGCAAGAAAAAAAAGAAGAAAGAAAGGAAAAGAAGAAACATAAAACAACCACAAAGACAAGAAAGAACAAGAGGCAGCAAAAAAAAAGTCTACATTAGGTGATTTGTTGAGATAATAGACTTTTTCCTTCCAAATTTCCCGTTTAATAAGATTTACAAAATAAGTCAGTAGAAGGAATCACAAACCGCCTGATTGTCGAATCTCCCAAGAAATAAAGGACAAACTCGACTTAAAATGTAATAATACCACAATCGTTCAGCTCAAATCACAAGAAAATGACAAGCACGTCGTAAACTTTCTTTCCATTTCTCTCCAATTATCACAAATTTTCATATAGAAGGAAGAAAGGTCACTATCTAGTCTTTTTCCTTCACTAAAACAAAATCAATATCCTCCCAAATGCACAAACATAATGTAGGAGACCTGGGGAGGGAAGGGAACAGAACATGTGTATATGCGTGTAGAAGGAGAGACAAAACCATTTCTCTCCATTTATCCTGATTTCATACAAAAGGACGACAAATCACTGTCTCTTCTTGCTTTCATCAGAACAAAATCCCATTCTTTGTAAATTCACGCATATAACGTAGGAGAAACGTTTAATTTTAGGACAATTTGGGAAAATGCAACATATATATAGATATATAGAAAGAGAAAAGAGATATTACAGGCAAAAAGACCGCCACCGAGGAGCAGAACTCCCGTACACCGCAGAGGCGGCGGGGGCAAGCGGCAAGTTGAGAGTTGCAGCAAAACGAGAGAATTGGATTTATTTTCCACTCCAGAGGCATCCTCCTCTTCCCCTGAAGCTGGCACTTGCAAAAGTAATGGTGGTAGAAGAAATGCCGGGAAATCTTTTTTATTATTCTTAGGTTTTCTCCAGCGCTGGCACCGAGCTCACAAATCGACGGAGCTGGATGTTTCAGTAGTGATTGGTTGAACAAGGAAGCAACAGAAACACACTGGACGCCATAATCTCTCAATGCAATTCACAATCACCTTGCTCCTCTTCAATCTGGACTCTTCGCTCCACCCAACCCGGGCAACGAGCAACGGGATTGAGCTTAAGAGTCGTTTACACCGAATCAGCTGCAGTGGATTTTTTTGTTTTATTTATTTTTATTTTTGATAAAGGAATTGGCTCTGCCGTTGTTGGAGGTTGTTTAAAAAATCAAATATTCGTTAAAATTGAGGTTTGATCTAGTTTAGTTTAAAAATTTTATATATAGTTTTTTTTTGAATATTTTATATATAAATATATATTTATTAAATATTGAGGGTAAATAATTATTTGTAATTAAAAAATTTAATTGATGAATTGATAATAAGACAAAAGTGTGTTAATATAAAGAGGAATAGATATTTTTTGTGTGAAAAATTTCAAAATTTTGTGTTTTGTTGATATCAGTAAAATTTAAATTGTTAACATAACAGCTATTAAAATTAAGGAAATAAATAAATTTTTTTAATTGAAGAATTTAGGTAATGATTTGATGATATTTTAAAAGAAATTACTAAAGTTAACCCTTAAAAATTTTATAAATATACAAAATCAAATCAATTAAATTAAATTAAATCACACTAAATTAAATTCAAACTTGGTTGATTTGTTACTAAATTTAAGCTGGGTTGATTTTGTTTAATCTACAAAATATTTTCAATTATGAAATTCAAATCAAATTATTTTAAATCATGAACTAAAATTTTAAAAATTTTCTTCAAGTACACATACTCTATTGTATATGCCATATATAAGAAAAAATTTATGTGTATATACACACATATAAGCGATATATAAGCCTAAAAAATACCAAACTAAACTTAATTGTCAAAAATCAAACCAACCCTTTGAGTTTGCAAACTCCCAAATTTTAGCGCCCGTACTCATGGTAACGACACTGCTACCCGAAGCTGTCTCATGCTAATTGTACTTGTTGGGCTCTTTTGAGCTCATTTATTTAAATTTTAAATTCAAATAGTTAGATGAGTCAAAAGTTTAAAGCATTCGAAATTAAGCACAGAAGTTCTAAAAAACCTATTCTGACCTTTTTAGCTTAAAAATGTCAAATGCAAAGCTCAAATGTCTGAGATACCAAGCACCCACTCAAGTAATGAGTTGCAAGTGCAGTCATACTGTAGCCAAATTCTATAAATCAAATGTACACCTGCAATTGGCACAGTACTAGCATAATCCACGAGCTGGGAAATACGGAGGCTTGAGTAGGTTAATGCACTTGTGTTTTTCATAGCAACATCATGATGGATGTAGTTATTACTAGGCCACTTTATGTTCAACATCTTGACCATGTTTTCACAGATTAAAACAGCCCACTTGCGGATCATGTTTTCCGATATTCTCTATTCATGAGGAGAAAATACAACTTCTTTTCATGCAACAAGGGCAGCAATTTTGTCTTCAAGATGGCTTCATGGTCATCAAGGCGTCCTTTGATAGCTTCTCCTTCCCATCGAATTAGGGTAGGAACTCCTGTGAGCTTAAACCTTGGGTCATGCCTCCACGGATGCTGGGGATTCTTCCATGTAGGCCTATCACCAACATAAGCACGCAGCAGTGCCACGTCATCTGATGATGCTTCCAGCTTCTTGTAAAATACGGGTTCGGCTCTCACGCAATCTGAGAGGAGGAAACTATGAAGTTAGAAGTTTAATTGAGGAATTTGTTTTTCAAAAAAAAAAATAAAATTGTCTCAACATTTGTTGATCAATGATTTGAAATTAAATGAGGTACTCCGTTCTTTACTTTCGAGGAGTAAATGGCAGCAAATGAAAGTTCTATTTCCAGGAAAACCATAATTTGATTCTACAAAGGCTCTGCTAGATTTCAGTTCAAAAAATATACTTAACAGTAAAGCCAAATTGATGAGTTTCTTTATAAATGTGATTTTATTTTCTATATTTCCCATAATTAATAGAAGTAAAATAATCAGAAATCAATACAAAATAAAGTAAAGCTCGAAACAAGAATGAAGAACTTCAATAGTATTCTCATCCCTTGTGTTTAAAATATCACTTCTATTGTCATCAAAAGAATAAAACCAGATGCATAAATACCAATGATTTAGATAAATATATACTTGAACATACACAAGTTTTGGTGTAATTTTAACAATATTTGATCCCAAATGAGAAGGGTTTCAAGCATTGCACTATTTTGGAATTTTATTTACTTTGGAATTCAACTATTTTAATATTTTATTAGTCCAGTATTTGTTTTTGATAAATGTTATCTTGGGATTGCCATTGGAATTAACTTTTATATTTAGGATTGACCTTTAGGGTTCTTTTGATATGAGTTCTAACAGCATTAAAATTACTTCTCCTAATTTTTTAAATTAGATTTCACATGATCAGAGCGAAGTATATTTTGAGTTTGTGAACTCAGTGAGCCACTGGCATGGATGATTACATGCGAGGGTAAGCCTTCCTTCTCCGCTCCTCTTTCCTCTCCATGACGTACCACGCCAATAATCTTCTCTTTCAAATATTCCCTATTCTGACCAAGTACTACAGCTACTGGCTGCATAATCTATAATATCTATTTGTTTACAAACCCATCAATCCAACTGGTATTCCGTAAATCTCTGAACCAATTATACAAAATTTCCAGTTTCCTATTCCATTTCTCCTCATTCTTGCTTTCTATGTTACCTACACCAGAAGCTGCATGCAATTTCACGTCAACATAGCACCGTACTTCCATCAAGTGACCTGTAAATTCTGAAGTCTGCAACTATA